CTCGCGGTAGAGTCTACGAATTTAATTCTGGAAATTATTACGCCGTATTTGAGCACTGTCGACTTTGTTAGTAAAAACTTTTCTAAAAAATTTAGTAACGTTGTGTTAACGTCCGACGTGGAATATTTTCAAATTTCGTCAGTAACGTTCCCTTTCCTCGAGCCGAGAAAGGACGCAAAGGAGCAAACAAACTATTTTTGATTTTGCTTTAATCAACGTTTTATTTTATTCCCATTCCCTTGACCAAATGGTGTCGCAATTAGCAGTTCTAGTAATACGCAAAATAGTTAGCTTCGATAGAAATTTGCAATAATTAATCTAAGCAATTCACAGAATTTGGACACCGTGTCAATCTTCGGAATTAATCACTTTCCCTTTTTCTCCAAAAAAAAAAAAAAAAAAAAAGGAAAGAAAATAATTTGTAAACTTGAAAATAATTCTCAGCCTCTCGAAAAAAAACATCTGACTTTTGTTTCACCTTTTGATTGATTTACTGAAACTCTTTCTCTTTCGATCGAACCTGTTCGGAAATGCCACTGAAATTAAAAAAAAAAAAAAAAAAACATAGTCCAACTCTCAGTTTACTATAGTTGTACTTGATCGGTTTACTCTCATGAAAGCAAGTCGTTGTGAGTCTGAATCGATAAAATCCATAAATTGAGGGAAAGTGAGGTCGATCGATTTGCCTTTTAAAAAGATGAACTTTCGAACTGTAACGTAAATTAAAATAGCCTAAAAATAATCATAGTTCCAAGCTTGAGTCTTCGTTTCTGCAATCACGTGAGATCGATGGATATATCGCCAGCCACGTCGACGATCAGCAAGGTGAATCCCCCTTTCTCTCAGCGGGAATTAAGACACGGAACGTTAATCGGGCGGGTCGTCAATTTCGCAGGGGCAACGGAGGGTCCCTTTAAACCGTCACGACAGAACAGGAATTAGAGCATCGATTAGGATTAGACGGTCAATTATGGAATTGCGTCCGGCAGAGACATCATACGAGTAATTCGACGCTTCCAGCCGGGATACTCGTGCCGGGAATGTGGATCGTTACCCTTCCAGCCACGACGCGTACAACACCCGCGCTCGAAATATAATTAGTTAACGTCGATAATTAAAAGCATTCGGTACGAGGCTCACGTAGTTTCCGACGCGATTTCGACCGGCCTGTCGGAATGATTAAATATTCTATTATCAGTGACGCGCGCAGACCTCGCTTGGGTTAGAGAGAGGTTTTTGGCGTCCATTAGAATAGATCGACGACAGACTATGGTCGGCTGCCGCCAATTGCCAACCGACAAATCCTCGAGCTTCTCTCTCCCCGTGTAATCTGCTTTCCTCTGGGACAATCGGGTGTCCTTTCAGATCACTTCCTGAGATCACTTTTCTTTTTTTATCAATTCGGTGTAACCTACATTATTAACGAAGGATATTGAAACTGAACTTTTACAGTGAAACAATACAATTGATTGGAAGAATATATTAATTATATATTAATTATATATTAATTAAATATATTTACATTAATGAATTATATATTAATTATATATTAATTAAATATATTTACATTAATGAATTATATATTAATTAAATATATTTACACATTAATGAATTATATATTAATTAAATATATTTACACTAATGAATCATATATTAATTAAATAAAAATTTACATTAATGAATTATATATTGATTAAATATATTTACATTAATGAATTATATATTAATCAAATAAATAATATATTTATATTAATGAAGGAAATATGAAAATTTTTGATGAGAACACTGAGCTTGTTCGTCAATGTCTGGTTTCAAGGGTGTTTTCAAGTTGCTCGTCTATCTAAAAATTTTTCTTCTTATTTTATTTCTCCTGTGCTTCGTATGAGGAAAAAAATATCTGCTCCCCAAAATGGACATGACGGACGTTCGTGGTGAAAATTGTTCAAATAATAAAATCATTCCAATTTTGGTTGCGTGGCGCGGATCAGCGTGAAAATGGGTCTAAAGGCCGCTTTCGATCGTCGATTATACCCCCGTAAAAATTTGTAATCGGGAAACAAAACAATTCCGGTCATCACGAGAAATTGGGAGTCAATTTGAAATTATCTAGCGAAATTAATTTGCGAAAGAACGTTTTACGATTGAAATTGAAATTCACATAAGTGGAATTTGTATCGGAGATTGAAATTCAGTGAATCGAGTTGGCGAATGATCACTGTCCGCTAAATTACAGATTCACGCACGAGGGACGAAACGATGGTAGCAAACGAAGCGAAAGAAACGTGAAACACTGTAGCAAACTAAACTATAAATCGGAACTAACGTTTAATTTACTATGTCAGCCGAGCCAATCAATAATTCCACTTCCATTCAATAAGTCAGTGGGTGCTGCGTTCATTTATAGAAGTGAAATTTACAGTCTAAACATCAGTAACGCAATGTGTAAACGACAACTGGAACGCGTGATGTATGTGTAACGCGATATAATGATCGAAATATGGTTGATTTGTTATTTCGGGTTTCGCGTAACGTATCGACTTTGCACTTGTTAATTGCTACTATTCTCTGAAACGCATAGCGTTCTGTGGCTTGTAAACAGATCTGTTTGTTAAAATCTCGCTCGGTGAAAGCTTTCGAATTCCTAACTTTCAAAATTCAAACGATCGTGATCGCATCCGCATTCTGCAAAACGGAATCATCGTTCTCAACGTGTTTAAAAAAACTTTCACATTTTACTCCAATTCACATTTGCTCTCCTCAATTAAAAGAACAATGGCTCTCTCGACAGAGATTCAAAGACAAGAGTCAAAGATTCCGACTCTGAATCAGTTTCAACTTTACTCTCCCCTCGCGCTGACCAAACAACAAATCCATAGTGAAAATTGCCGCGAGCAGTTTTTCGCGAGCTAATCGTGAGAAAATAAAAAAAGAAAATTGTGAACGCGGCCAACAAAGAGAAACGACGACAATATACCATAGACGATGTATCGAACGAACGGTGCCAGGGAAGTTGAATAACTGAAAGTTCTCGTAATCGAGAAACAGCCGGCTTTTGTTACGCGTTGCTCGATTTATCTACAACACGGTGAGACCTGCTACGCGCAATTACTATCTAATTGCCTATACGAAATGGACATCTAATCTGGTATACATCGCTGGTGCTCCTGCAGCCGATAGCAGTAATTCTCTGGTTTATCCCGTCAACGAACGGAACTAGAGGAACTTGCTGCAATTAGCGAGAAATCAATCAAGAATGGGGATTCCACTTGAGCGGACAAACTCGCTTTCCTCTGTTTCAACACGGTTTCTCGGACTGCGACGTGAATTTATTTTCAAAAAGACATTTTTTGCATGCCGATTGTAAACTGAGCTTGACTTCATCGGACGACGATAATTATTATTAAACGAAGAAATATTTATTGAGAATAGTATTCGATGAGTACCAAGTATTATAAATGAAATACCTAAGTATTTAAAACCTATATATATAGAATTGACAATTAAATCAATACAGCTTTGAAAAAATGAAATAAACGTACGTGAGCATTATTACCACTTCGGTGCAACGTACAGTTATCACACCTGAAAATTATATGCACTGTCGGCGAAACTCCGACAATTAATATGAAAAGTGCGCGGCAGCAAAGAGCAAAGGTTGAAAATTGAGAAGTAAGGTCGCTTTTCACGATGTTAATGTTTTTTTGCACGCCTGACGCGTGCGGTTCGAAACGACACGGCGATGCCTCAAAAATTAAGCCACTCGTGGACTCTATGTCTCCGCGAATTTCGTTCTCGTTTCAAGTATGTCTCTGCGCTCTCTTCGAAACTTTGTCCATTTAAGCCAGAGGCAAGATGTTTATGTTTCATGAGTTTTACGACTCTCGAGACTATTTGGAAAGAGCAGGCCGAGCGTTTTTTGTCCTATACCTCCGAGCTTCCACTATCTAACTATGACCCATTTAATGAGAGCGGTCATCTCATTCTTGCCGGACGGAAGTTCTTCCGACTGTCAGAAAACAGTGACTCGAGAGACTTCAATCTTCAACGTTGTGAATGCGAATACAAATCTCCAACTCGAGGTAAAAATGGAGTGGGAATCGTGGAGTACAGAACAATTTAAATCATAACAGATTGCTTTCACGGCGATTAACATACTCGTGTCGAAGTCTTGAATCCAACAACAGAAATATTGAATATTTCATGCGATAAGAAACCTAAGTGATGATATATAGCTAATCTAATTTTATCACGAGCGAGGCTCGTATCGAGATCAATAGCAAAATAATTTTACGTAAAAGTAAAATTCTGCTGTAAAAGGTCTCCATCTCGACGTCAGAACGGCAAATATTGCACACTGCTCCGTTAACCTCTTGCCACGGACGTCGAGAATTTTTCTACCCCAAATTGCAACATTTCCTCAGTTTTAAGTACATTTAAATGTAACCCAGGCAAAACAAATAACAAGTTTATTACTTCTCGATAATTTCTATCCAGCGATATCACACCGACGTGTGATTCAAAGGAGAGAGAAAGCGACGATTGTATTGTACACGGTTCGGTCACTCGTTATGGTCCGCGAACCAGTTGCCAGCGCAACGGGTTTAAACACTCGTTGACCCGTTCCATCTCTCTTAAAATGTACACCCAAATCTCTATAAAATCCCCGCGTTGGTCGCCTCATAATCTCTCCGAGTACGTAATACTTAACCTTAAAACCGAAAAAAAGAATGGAATAAAAAGGCGGCTTTAAGAAAGAGAGAAAAAGAGCAGAGAAGATGCGAACGCCCCTCCCCCCCCCCCTTCCCAGGAGAAAGAAAGTAGCAGCAGAAAAACGTATAAAACCCACGTCCCACCCAGTTTTCTCTGTCCCCTGCAAGCCGGTGGGGAAAGAGGGAAAAAGAAAGAAAGGAAAAAACAGAGAAAAGAAGCGAGCGTTCCGGTTGGAACCGGAAGTGCAGGGCAGACACAGACTAATCCAGCGTTCGTTGTTCTTGTTCCAGGGGAGCATCCAGCTGCAATGCAGCACGGGAACACGGCAGCAGGCTCGCCAACATCGAAGACGGTCCTCGTAATGCTCGCCTTCTTTTTGGGTCAATTGAGATAATGTGTGTTCTCGTACGTGTACGTGCGTGTGTCACCGACCTGTCTGCCCCTGCGTGTGCACTTTCCGCATGTATGTAGTTGCGTGCGTGCGCGAATGAAAGAGAGAAAGAGAGAGAAAGTGAGAATGAGAAAGCGCGTGTAAATCGAAGCGTGCGAGTGTCATTATAACGCGAGCATTAAGTGAAACTCGATGGATCGTCGTTGGACACAATAAGACGTAGCCACCTTCTCCCCCTCCCCCATCAAGTATCCTGTTTGTACCTTGATCGAAATTTAAGTCGAGACGACCGAGCACGCAACCGGAACGATCATCGACGAAGAAGCTTTCTTGCATGCAAGGTGATAAAGTAAAAAAAAGGGAAGTTGACCGGTGAGAAAGTTTTCTTTTTTTTCATCGTATGACGTATCGATACAGGTAATTTTAATTTCTTTCTTATCGAGTCTGAGGAACAAAAATTTCTTGATCACCTCGTGATAGTTGGTGTTTGATATTTTTACACTTGAAAATTCTGTTCGAAGCATAACGGATAACATTCGATGTTACGACATTTTATGAAACGACAAAGTATTATATAATGTACTATAGAAAAGTCGGATAAATACGTAATAACAAGGTATCCGGTATCGAAAAGTGCGAATGGATTAAAATGGAATCGTTTCGAAATCTCCATTAGAAGTTCCGCAAACAAGTTTAGTTTTCCGGAGACGCGGGATTTAATGCTGTTCTCATATTCGTACGTGCGTATACCGTGATACGTCGAGGGAAGCTGTTCTGTTCATCGTATTTCGTTATTTTCATCTGCAATTTTTTTTTTTTTTTTTTTTCTTTTTGAAAGAAAGTTTCGTAAAGGGAAGAGCTGAGAAAACAAGAAAGAAACGCGTGTATTGTCAGACGTACGTACGTATAATTCCACGGAATTATTACCATTCCCTTGCGGCTCTGCACTGTATTTTTTTACAACGTTATTTTTAAAATAAATTATCATACCGTATCCTGTTGCACACACGCGTGCTTAATACATGCACGTTGTAGTAAAAGCACGTTGCAATTTAACGTAATTAATTATTATGCAAAATATTGGAAACCGAAGAGGTAACAATATAATTATGTGATATTGCGTATCAGTTTATAATCAACAAGTCATACTTAATTAGGGGCGCAGCAAATAATTGAAACGGTTTGAAGTGAATTATTTGACGACGGCTGCAAATTGCGAATTGTACGGACAATACGGACATGACTGAAAAAAAAAAAAAAATTGCAGATGTAAATAATGCAGAACATCGTGACGTTGAACGAAGTTTACGAAGAGTTTTCAATTCGCAAACATTGTGAAACTTTTCGACTCAGAATTTTTTTATGAAACCGTGGAACCGAATTCTTCATCTTTCCCCGACAGGAAGTACAATAGCAAAATATAATAATAACGCGTAACGTATTATACATAAGTAACGATGCTCAAACCTATACAAATAAGAGTGTTACAAATGAACAAACGTACTGAACTGCCGCTAGTTGAAACGATTTGTATAAAAATTACCGTTCCGAGTACACGTAAATTTTTAATACGATTTTTTGGTCAACTCGAAGAATTCACCTGAAGAAAAAAAAAAAAAAAACAGTCATTGAAGATTAACTCTCTGTCTACGACTTCTCGACATCGAAAGTCGATCGAGATTTGTTTTCGGTGTATTCGTCGATCGATCGTTGCTCGACGAATTGTTACGATCAAATGAAATTTTCACGAGAGGGAAGAAAGCTTCTTCGAAATTCACTTCTGCGGAGAATTCAGTTTACAGAGATTTCCCTGCCGGCGCGTTTTAAAAAATTCAGTTCAGTCAGTGGAAGAGAAACATCGATGAAGGAACTCTGTTGGCGGCCGGTCTCGCATTCCGTGAAATCGCGAATTTCCCGCGAACCAATAGGTGAGGAACACTAATCGAAGCGAAAAAAAAAAAAAAAAGAAAAAGAAAAAAAAAACGTCGTCGTAGTATCCCAGGTTCGATATGTGTAATAACTTGCAAATTACTACTGCGTTACTAGTGTCGTCGAAAAGTAAGGAAAACCAAAGTATTCCGAAGTAACGTTGTGTAAACATGGTGTAACCGTGAGTGACGATGTGCAATGAAAAAGAAAAAAAAAAAGAAAACTGTAAGAGCAAGAGGAGAGAGAAAAATTGTAAACGTGTAACTAACGCGGCGTGAACGTGGTGCCCCGAAATAATGGTAATTCGATGTGTATGTTCGCGACTTACTACATACGTAGGGACGATTATGTACATTGTAATTGTTACAAGATGAAAAAGCGATCGTTCCAGCAACTACAGCGAGTTCGTTCGTTCTTGGCAAACCAAGTTTCCCGACGGATGCATCTCTTAATTGTCCGGCGAATCATTCTGCGAGATGCGAGAGCACGTTTTACCGAAGAGAATTTCCTACTTTGACAATTGTTCAGATTTTTATTAATGTATATATCGAATTGTTAAAAATTCTACTACATGTTGAACGTTCAATTTCCTATTATGTATTCTACGTTTCCCGATCATTTCTCTAGTTTTACAAATTGTTGCAGGCCAGTTTCACGTTTCATTTACACTAATAAACTCTATAAACAAACTGATAAAACGTTGACTTTGTCGACCATATTTGAAAAAACAACTGAAACTTGGCACAATTAACGTTTCAAAAGCACCTGGATTTTTCTCGCAAGGGGACAGAGAGGACTCTTCTTTCGAACGCTTTTCTTTCGGCGACTCGGATACGACTTTTGGCCATTGAAATATCGTCTGTCGTCCGAAGGGTTACCACTTCATATATTTTATTTCTTCTGTCCTGGTTACACTTTCGAGCACCCCCTCCCTCGCTGACCTACCCCAGAAGACCGCTGTTGACCAACAACTGTCAACGTCCTTCTGCCCACAACTGCTGCAGCGACATTTTCGAGAAAAAAGAAGAAAAAAAAAAGAGGGAGAAAATGTAGGTCAATTCTCTCGTTCGCATTTCGCGGCCTTTGAAGCGCCGTATCTCAGAATTCAATTGCCATATCGATTTGCATCGTCAAAGAAACTGCTCCCTCCTACCTCGTACGGTCGTATTGTTCGCAAAAGAATTTACAGAAACTTACGTAGTGTTACAAAAATGTTAGAAAAAAAAGACACAGTTTCGTGCTATTTCACGTTTTAGAATAATATCGCGTATCGTCTAATTCAAAGCGAGAGACGGATATGCGATTTTGTTTTTTTTTTTTTTTTTTTTTTTCTACGTTTCTAATATTTTATCTGATGTATCTGTCCGATTTTCTCGAAACTGGAGATTCTTTCAGTTCTCCACTTCCTTCACGTTCATCCATTTCCTTCGGTCATTTAGATATTAAAAAAAAAGAAAAAAAAATAGCCCACTGGACACGCGGGAGCTACGTTGAGAAATTTAATTAGCCCTCTCTCGAATTTTTCCGATACGTCTGATATTTTTTTCTTTTTGGATAAATCGAAAACATGAAGGACAGGAGCAAAGGAGAGAGGATATCGTACGAGCGCGCGTGTGTTTCGCTCGCTTTTGTCCAAGTATGAAGCTTTCAGCTTCAACAAAGGAGACGCGTTGGCATTATTTTGTAACGGGGGCCAATATTGACAGGGGATTCTTTCTCTTTCTATCTCTATCTTTCTCTTTCCTCCTCCTCCTCTTCCTCTCTTTTTCTCTCTTTCTGTCGCGGATGCCTGTAGTTTCAACGGAAAGAAATTCTGATATTACAACGTAGCAGGATGGCGAGCGTTTTCGGAAGGAAGCTCGTAGATTCTCCCATATCTTCCCCGGCATATCGAGTTTTACGCTTCGTTTTCTGTGTTTCTTGAATGAGACGTGCATTATCCGGTTCGAAATGCATGATGGAGGAATTCCTTCCTCGTCGAAATCCGAGGGGGAAACTCGAAAGGAATGCGTGGCAAGTTTAGCGACTCCCAGCGTACAATGATCATCCTATTATTCTTATTCTATTTTATATGTACGAAAATATTTCGCGAATTTCGGGAAAATACGCGAGGTAAAAGTCAGGAAGTTTCGCGACCTCGTCAAATTTACGAATTCCTCTGATCGACGATTTTTATTAGTTTTATTAGCTTTCGGTGCTTGCGAGATATTCTTTCTTCCAAGCGCTTCTAAATTTAAGACTAAATTCAAATTCATTTACAATCCCTTCGTTTAGATATTCCTTGCAACGGAGTTTCCTTTTAAAGAAAAAAAATTCGAGAGATTTTCGAATAGAATATAAAGAAAGTTCGTAATCTTCCCCAAAAGTATCAAACTCACGTTTCCAGCCACTATCTTTCCAATTTTGTCCATTTAGTTGAATACTAACGAGACTACGCGCCCTTTCTGACAAATTTCTTTTTCCCATTCCTTTACCTTTCAATAGTCTCTTGACTAAGTATCCAGTTTTCATCAATTTTCAACCCGGTAAAAAAATAAAGCTCCTCGATTCTTAAAAACAAAAGGAAAGAAAGGGAAGGACCATCGACGAGTTTACGTGGGGAGGGGAAAAAAGATTCAAGTGACTTTCGAATAGAATATAGAGAAAGTTCGTAATCTTCCCCAAAAGTACCAAACTCACGTTTCCAGCGACTATCTTTCCAATTTTGTCCATTTAGTTGAATACTAACGAGACTACGCGCCCTTTCTGACAAATTTCTTTTTCCCATTCCTTTACCTTTCAATAGCCTCTTGACTAAGTATCCAGTTTTCATCAATTTTCAACCCGGTAAAAAAATAAAGCTCCTCGATTCTTAAAAATTAAATGAAAGAAAAGAAAGGATCATCGAGAAGTTTGCGTGGGGAGGGGAAAAAAAATTAGAGGATGTCATGCGACAGAAAGGAAGTCGAAGAAGGAGAGAAGACCGTCTTACGACAGACACACGCAGCAATAGCGTGGATTGTGAATTTTATTCGCGAAAGCTTTCGGAAACGTTCGACCGTTTACCTACGCGAGTAAATCCGCGCGAACTGTCTTTGTGGTACAAAGACAGTTTGTTTGATTGTTCTCCGGTGAAATAACTCGATCTCGATCTGAAGCTAGAAGAAAGGACGGCTCCTCGGAACGGAGAAAACAATGCGGGCATTAACGCTCGAATTCAAGTCGACCGGATTCTTTAACGTTTAGCACGGTTCCTCTTCCCTCTTCTTCCTTTCTCTTCTTTTCTCTTTCGAATTTTTATTCGCTGGACGATTATTTGGAACATTAACAGAGGAATGGTAATTACGTTGCCGTTGGCAATTCATTCATCATCGAACTCGTCTCACGAGTTTTATCGTGCTTTTGTTGTTCAATGTTCCCGTTGAAAGGGAACAAATTTCTCAGCAGATCGAAAGACGCGGGACTTACAGCTTAAGGAAAATTAAAATTAAACGA